CTTAGAACATTTCAAAAAGTGATTTTTCTAGAAATAGGAAAATTACGACACATACAGATGTGATTCGATTTTAGGCTAATAAAGACAAATGGGTAATTGCAACTATTAGAAAATAACTAGATATTAGTGAGTAAGCTAGACTATAGAGGAGGTAAATTTTCTCTCGAACAATTTACCCCGAATCAAGTCGATTTCTCTCGAACATCGACAAACAATGCAAATTAAGAACAACCCACACCTTAGTCCATTCACTCCCTCGAGCTGAATGTGTGGAATTGGGTTTAGGATTCACTCTCTCGAGCTGAACCTATGACAACCCAATACCCACAGACCATCAATCAATAATATTAGTTTGAAAACCTCTCTCTCGAGCAAGCCAAAAACACAAGGGTAGAACTATTTTTGCAACTACAATTCTTAAATTAAACCACAATTAATGATTGAACTCACTTCTAAACAACATTTAAACTAACAATTAGCAATACCCATAAACTAAATCAACCCATAAATAATCACATAATCACACCCAAAATTGAGGTTTTAGCTAGACATTATAAAAAGATAAAAATCGTTACCAAATTGAGTTTCCATCAACTGGGTAAGATTGATTTCGTCTTTACAATGGTCCAAGATGAAGAATCTCACAGACCCACTTCCAATTTCTCAAAAGTGAAAAACTTCAATTCTTCAAATCTAAGGAAAAAACTAGAGAAAACTTGTCTCACAGTTAAAAACTCTAAAAATATGAACACGGATACTATTTAGAATGAATAATGATACTAAACTAAATGTTCAAAAATGTATTTATAGTCACCAAAAATGTGCTGCGAAGAGCCAATCGGCGCAGTAAGTCGGGAACCCCGATCCACCTTTTGGTCACTTCCATCGCCCTTCTGCCTTGGCCTTCAGCATCCTCAAGGTCTGTAACTTTGGGCGATCCAACACTGCATCACGGAACCACTTGGCGATCCGCCGACTGCTCCTTTCTCTCGCCAACTTGGTTCTTTCCTTCAGGGATTGGTACACTGGAACTTTAGGCGGTTCAAGCAGCCGTTCGGCGACTTGCCAAGTGGACTTGGCGATCACCATGCTTGCTTTTCTTCATTCTTTTCGCTCACTTCGTTCCTTTTTGCAATTTAGTGTCCTTGCTTTGTTCCTCAATTCATATACCTGAAAATCAAGGGTTTTACATCAGTTATTGGCACAAAATAAGCATTTGAGGACGCTAAATCATTGTAAATAAAGCCCTAAATGAGTCCAAATCTCGGACTCATCAACACCCCCAACTTAAACTTTTGCTTGTCCTCAAGTAAAATTCAAGTTCAACAGTTCAAAAAAGATGTCTCAAAGAGTGCTACACAAGACTCAATCATGAATGCACAAAACAAGACTCACCCTACTCATGCAAGGATCAATTGTGCACTCAAAGGTTCAAGTAGTGACTCACCATTACCAAAGATTCTCAAGTTCACAATACTTGCTTCAAATGCAAGTTCAAGCTCAACAAAGGTACTCAAATGTCCTCACACAAAGAATGATTCCATATTCACACACAATTGTTCAACAATTTATAGCTCTGGAATCACATACAACTCTCACACTTACAAACATGAACACATGCATGACTTCACCCATAGGTTTACCCTTATTTTCCAATCAACATTCGCTTCAGCTCACTCAAGATCAAAAAGATCTTTTTTAAGGCTTGTAACAGGGCTGAGTGCAAAGGTATGATCATTTAGGCTCAGTAGCTACTATCCTCATGAAATACGGCATGAACAACACTATCTTTCCTTTTTTTCAACATTTTCACTCATGCTCAAAATTCACCCCATTATTCACTTCTCATGGAATATCGGACACCCCATTTCTTTTGCAACTTTCGCAACTTTATTTCACAACTTTTTCGTTCATTTTCGTTTTCATTCTTCTTTTCTTTTTCTCTATTTTTTTTTGTATGGAGGGGTTCCATCTTTCTCAAAACCATGGATCAAGGGGGCTTTCTTTGCATTTCTTGATTTACCTTCTCTTTTCACCACACCCTCAACTTAGTGTTTTGGCCTAAGTTGACTATTCAAACAAACCACACTTCATGAGGATTATGAGTGAATGGATAGAGGGGTTACTTTCATCAAGTTTCTTCCAAGAAAAGGGTAAGGCTCAAAGGGTGTTCACGCAAAGAGGTATAATGTCAAATTGTTTCACTCTTCAAAATTGTTGCCTAAGATCATTTCAAGAGCTTGCATCACTTAGTCAACCGGACCAACGGGAAAAATTCTAGGTGTCATCACACAAGGTTCACGGTAAGCTCATCACACAAGGCATTGGCACCAATATCAAACAAGACTCCACACTTTTGCTAGTGTGCAATGTTCATCACAAGAGACTTATTCGATAACTGGTTAGTCACAATGATATGCAAAAAGTTCACATATTGTCTATGCAACTTCATTTGGCCTCATTGTAACCGCACATTCATTTTTGTTCGATTAAAAGCACTATTCAAGTCATCGGTATTGACCATTACCGATACTCAAATTTGCACAAGAACAGCCACATTCAAACACAACAAGAGGTGAATATTTTTTCCAGAAGAACCCAAAAACCATTTGCAATTTAAAACAAGGAGCCATAAGCTCAAACATCCACAAAACAGTGTCAAAACATAATTTATTGCATAAAAACCCAATTTATAAACAAAAATGATAATCACAAGAGGTAGGTATGGAAATACCTCACCCCACTACAAATAAAAAACAATTTTTCCTCAAATGCAACAAAATACTAAAAATCAATAAAAGTGACAGAGGAAGGTAAAGAAAAGTCCTGGTTACACAATCGCTCCATCTGTCGGGGCATCAGTTCTCGGTGTCACATCAGCTGCACTGCTCCATTAGGGTCAGTCATGGGTATGTCTGCCAATGAGATCTGCACAGTTGAATCTACCATGGCCTCCTAAACTGTTGTAAGGCCCTCAAAAGAAATCTTCTCATCGACACCAAGCTGTTCCTCATCGGTCTCAACCTCAGATTCGGCAGCAACCACCTCCTCAGCTCGAACCTCATCTCTGGTGGTAGCCGGAGGCACATCTGTATCAGCTGGCATATCGGGGATCTCCACAGTCCTGAAAATCATAGACATGTTTGTGGACTTCAGCTGGTCCACATCCTTCCTAAGCTCAACAATTGCAGCCTTTAGCCGTCACCTCATCAGTGGCCCCTTGGCCTTGCTCACACACCGCTATCTGTGCCGCAAGGGCATCAATAGATGCACTAAGGGGTGTCACAAAATCAGCAAGGGCCCTCTCTATCATGCAAGAAATGGTGGCCTCAATCCTGGAGGTGCGCCTATCAGCAGAATGGGCTAGTTGACCCATCCGTAGTAATGCATCCTGGGTGAGTGGAGGTCGGGAAGTAGAAGTAGCAGAGGAAACAGACCTAGGAGGCAAGAGAGTTGTAGAGGAACTTGGCGACATGGAAGGGGCAGTGCTAGATATACCTGAAGGCTCAGGGGTCAGAGTACGCAAAGGTGCCTCTGCAGGTAATGCATCAGTGTCCACAACCGGGGATGTATCCACCTAGGCTGCCTTCTTCTTCTCGGCCTCATCCTTTAAGTACTCCACCTCAATCCTCCGAATGTCGTTACACGAGGTGGGAGTCACTTCCACATTCTTATTCTCATCTCGAGGCACTCGGGCTTGTCTGCACAACTTGGTGATCACCGCCGAAAAAGGAGGTTTGGCGCTTCTTAGCCCTTATGACCATCTTCTGTTCAATGATCATACCCAAATTTATGCGCTTTCTTGCGATGATTGATCTAAGACAAGCCGAATTTGTGTGGCGGCTGATGGACTCATTTTGGGATGGCATGATAGTGTTGCTGATAAAGCTAAACCAGTACCTCGCTGCTACATTGAGGTCCTTCTTCTCGATCGGAGCTCCTGTTTCCAACCACTTAGGAGTATCATCAGATATGAGAAGAGCTAACCAATTTTTCATATTCTTCAAGGACTTAGTCTTGATCCTATATCGGTAGTCATCTGCAATGTTGGTAGTGCATTCCAAGACAATATTTATGTTAGTACTGTCACACAACACATTTTCCCCCTAACAACTACATAACCGGCTGGAATTTAGCGGCCTGCTTCTTCCTTTGTGGCACTAGCGCTCCGTAGGCGGTGTAGAATTCCCAGACCCAATTTGGAATATAAGGGCCATGAGGTCTAGTGAATATCTGGAACTTATAAGACCTCAAGCAGATCATAATCTCTGGGTATCTGTCTATTACCCCATCAGTAGGCAGACTCTTCTCCTTGATAATGGTCTTCAATCCCTCAGTCTTCAGTCTGTTCATAGGCCGATGAGGAGGACCTTGTGTAGGTGGTGCTGGAACCACAGCCTGATCTGGGACAGGAGGAGTAGTGGCATGAGGAGTCTTGATCCTAGACGGATCATTCAACCTCTTGGAACGCAACTCATCACTCTGGGCAGACAATAACTTATCACCTTCACTCTCAGAAGTGGTGAGGTGAGTGGCATAGATTATGTCACTATCGGGGCTGACCTCCGGTGATGCAGGAGCAGGTGCCTTGCCTTTCCCTTTTCCCTTCCCACATGTGGTAAGAAGTTTGGTAGCCTTTTCCCGGGATGCAACTACATCCTCATTAATTGTGATTCCCTTAGCCCTTTTGCGGGGCGGCATGTCTCTACCTACCACTTTTGGTCTAGCCATATCTACAAAAACATTGTAGAAAGTTAGAAACATTTCAAGAAAAATCACAGAAAATATAGTGCAAACAGACTTGCCGAACCGATCGGTGAGTCGCTGAATCACTTTGGCAAGCTAGATCAGGCTCGTCGAAAGGATTGGCTTCAAATATTTTCTAGAAAAATGGCATGTTGGCGATGGGAAGGCCCACTCGACGAATCGCCGACATCATTCGGTGATCAAAGATTATCCCGCTGAAAATTACAGTGCATTTTAGGGGTTAGGGCGCAGAAATGGCGATCAAGAAAGACTTTCGGTGAGTCGCCAAGTTTTACAGGACCTACAGTTGATATGGGGGTCCAAACGGCAGACTGAGTCGAGTCACCGACCTATTCGGCGAATCGCCAACATTTTACATTGAATGGTAACATCATAATCTTTAAGTAACTCCATCCAAGAGCTATCAGATTTCAGGCTGGTGTACCACTGAAATTTTGGGGGGATTGTGACCACAACAATTTACATTATTAATAGATTGCCTTCCTCCATCATTCAAGATAAATCTCCTTTTGAGAAACTTCACAGCCACTCACCTTCTATAGCTCACATGAAAGTATTTGGATGTTTGGGGTATGTGACTCAAGTTAGAAAGGTCGATAAATTTTCTCCAAAGGCTATTTCTACAGTATTTCTTGGCTATTCAGCATCCCAAAAGGGTTATACTATTTATGATTTGGAGTCCAAAGTGTTTTTGACAAGTAGGGATGTCTTGTTTCAGGAAGATTCTTTTCCTTTCAAGACCATCCTAGCTTCTCCTCCCCTTTGTTTTCCATGAGGGAAGATGAACTTCATGCCTTACCTTAGTCAGCTATTTTTCAGTGTTCCTGCTCATTTTTCTGCTTCTGTGGCTGTTTCTCCTGCTTCTGAACCTCCAGCGGTATCTGTAAATAGAAAATCTTCCAGGCCTACTAAGCCCCCTATTTGGATGCATGACTATGTCTCCACAGGCAAAGCAAGTGCAAACTATTGTTATCAGTATCTGTTGTGGTCAGTTATGATCATTTATCACCTTTGTTTGGAGCTACTTTGGCATCCTATTCTGTCATCAAAGATCCCACTTCCTATGTTGAGCCTGTTAAAGACCCCCATTGGGTTGCTGCTATGAAATCTGAGATTCAAGCATTACAAGACAATCACACTTGGAGTTTAGTAGAATTACCAGCTGGAAAGAAACCTATCGGGTGCAAATGGGTGTTCAAGGTTAAATACACATCCTCAGGAGCTGTGGAAAGGTACAAGGCTCAACTTGTGGCAACGGGTTATAGCCAGCAAGAGGGGTTGGATTACACTGAGACTTTCTCTCCAGTTGCTAAGATGGTTACAGTCAGGTTTGTTGTGTCTGTGGTAGCAGCTAAACATTGGACTATTTTTCAGATGGATGTTCATAATGCTTTTCTTCAAGAGGACTTAATGGAGGAGGTGTATTTATAGGTTCCTTCTGGGTTTGCCAGCCAGGAGGGGAAGCATGATGTCTGCAAACTACATAAGTCCCTTTATGGACTCAAACAAGGCACCTAGGCAATGGAATAAGAAACTCACAGATGCATTGGTACAACTTGGCTTGTCACAAAGTCATTTTGACTATTCTTTATTCACCAAGACAGTTCAGGGAGAGTTGGTAATTGTCTTAGTATATGTGGATGATTTGCTGGTGACAGGGAGCAATGCAGCCTGATCCTACAAACAAGAAATGACTTAAAGCTAAAGTTCAAAATGAAAGATCTTGGAGAGTTGAAGTTCTTTCTAGGAATTGAATTTGCTAGATCACAAAAGGGAATAGTGATGAGCCAAAAGAAGTATGCACTGGAACTAATTAGTGAGCTGGGATTAAGTGGTACTAAACCAGTTAGCACACCTTTGGAAACAAATCTGAAGCTTACATCAGTTGACTATGATGTTTTTATCACTAATGATAAGGAAGCAGGTTCTAAGGATGAAGATACACTACTTGCTGATCCTACTCAATATCAAAGGTTAGTAGGAAAGTTGTTGTATCTCACTATGACTAGAATTGACATTGCCTATGTAGTGCAAGTGCTAAGTCAATTCATGCATAGTCCCAAACAATCTCACATGAATGATGCCTTAAGAGTAGTGATATATACAAAGAATGCACCAGGTCTTGGTCTTCTAATGCCCTCTGATAGCTCAGGAAAGTTTGAGGCATATTGTGACTCTGAATGGGGTGGTTGCTTGCAGACTAGGAGGTCAGTCACAGGGTACTTAGTAAAGTTTAGCAATGTTGTAGTGTCCTGGAAGTCAAAGAAACAGGAGACATTAGCTAGAAGCTCTGCTGAAGCAGAGTTTAGAAGTATGGCATCTGTGGTTGCCAAGGTGAACCTGGTTGATTGGTTTGTATAAGGAGCTGGGGATCAGTGTTGAGGTTCCCATACACCTTTATTGTGACAGCAAAGCTGCAATTCAGATTGCAGCCAAAAGAGTAGAGAATAATGTTTGATTCTGCTGGTGAGGCTGATTGTCTATGATTGTCTATGATTAACCCTAGTAATATATGATAAATACGATAATTAATGACACTTAAGAGTAGAGAGTAATGTTTGATTCTGCTGGTGAGGCTGTTTCATAAATATTAACGTTAGTCATTAGCCTAATTTGGTTAGGATCAGAATAGTAAAATGAAAACAATATCACAATTCTTTTAAGCTCTATGATTAGAGTCAAATTATCTACCCTAAAAAAATTACAATTAAATTTATATGTGAAGTCTAAATGATAAGAAGAAAAATCTTAATTTTAAACTAATAATTTATTATTTGCTAAAAGAGAAATCAAATGATGGATTAGATATAGCTAATAAATGAAAGATTAGATAACAACGACATGGGTACACAAATATATTTATCATGTCCTTTGCTCTAACCAGCTAAGCTACCTTATCGCATTGTTGAACTCAACTCTCCATTTTTGTTTTACAATTTGTTGTTTTTGTCTTTTTACAGGAATTAGGCATCTCAATATATATTAATTTTTTTTCAATTTTTTGAAGTGTGGATAAATCTAGAATTCAAAGTTATTGAGTTTTGCTATTTATATATATGATTTTGGGAAAAGGGTTCAAAACACACATAAATTTTGGCCGAAATTGTTGTTACACACTCCAACTTTGCGAGGGTCCTATGACCTCCCTAAACTATTTTTTAGTGTATTATTGAGGTTATTATAAGCTTAGTTAGATGAGCAAGTGACCAACACTCTCGGTTAGCGCGTAAGGGTGGAATTAAAGTAAAATGAACTCATCTTTATTTGTCTTGTGGCAATCCACATCATTCCTTTTTTTCCCATTAAATATCCTTATTATTTTTTAATTAGGGAATATATACAGATGCCAATATTTAGTTGGATATTTCCTTTAATAAATTACATTTAATTATTAATTATCATTAATATTTCTTCTTCATCAAAAATCCAGTCACTTCACTGTGTCTATCCCAGCAACGGAAAACTCTGCCGACGCCGACAACGAAAAACTCAATCAACAATTATCAAAAATATAATCACCACACAAGTAACTCCCTCAATTGTAATAACTACTTCCACACAATCAAAATTGCAAATTTGCAATGAACTGGATCTACAAATTTTACCATTTTCATATTTTGCCACCACCGAATCGTTATCACTTCGTCATCATCACAAAAAAAACCTCCATCACCACCAAAATGACAAAGACGATCACAAAGTTTTAAATTTTTTAGAAAGATAGGAAATTTATATGAAAATTTATAGACGAAAAAATTCATTACTCATTAGAAAGAAAAACCCAATGTATATATTGGGTTTTCTACTGATTGAATTTCTTAAAGAAATTTTTGTTGATGTAGTTTAAAAGGAAGTTTTTAGGATGTTTTTTGTTGGATTTTAATGTGAAAGTCTTCATGTAAGGGTCTAAATTGAAAGAATGGTGTGATGGTAGAAGAAGGTTTAAAAAAATAAAGAAAAAATAGGGAAAAAATTGAAGAAAAAAAATTAAAATGATAAATACAGTGGCAGGAGCGCGTGTGCCACCTTCTGGATAAAAACTTGGTTTTGACCTTTAAAAGAGGTAATAATTCCACTTCAAAATAATACGGGGGTCATAGGACCCCCGTAAAGTTGCAGTGTGTAACAGCAATGTCGGTCAAAGTTTGTGTGTGTTTTGAACCCTTTTCCTTATGATTTTCATTACATGCATAAATATACAGAGTTAAAATTCATCATAATATTGAAAAGGGAAAAAGGAGAAATATATCCCGAATTATCGTAAATGGTATGTCAATACCCTCTGTCATACTTTAAGGTTGTATTTACCCTTACCATCAATATTTAGGTTGTGTATACCCTTGAGACTAACGGCTGGACACGTGGCTACATCTCAATAATTTACCTAATATTTATTTTCTTATCCGAAATTTTAAAAAAAAAACACCCATCTTCCCTAACCCATCCATAACCCGAATTAAAACCCATTTTCCATAACAATTCCCTTCAAACAATGCTAATTGTTCATCTTCTTCTCTTCTTTAATTCTCAAAAAATTGTTGCACAAATCAAAATTTTCACTAACATTAGCCTTTTTTTTGTGTTTTAGAGTTCATGGATGATTGCGCACAAAATCATCAAGTTAATTTTGTGAATGGCCACCGTCGTCGCCGCCTTCTTCTCCGAAGTTCACACAAACATTTGAATCATTAGAAATGAAATTCGTGGCGTTTCTCTTAATGAAATGCAGTGATTTTTTGTCGGTTGTGTCCGCCTTGGAGAGTCGCCCAGCTTGGCATTGACCTTTCTCGTTAAGAACGCCGAAAAACTGTCATCGACGACCAATAGTGGTCTGCCGAAGTTCAAACCGTTTGAATGAACCGAAATTTCTTGATGTTTGATTTTTCGTCTGTTGAAACGAAAAGTTGGTTTTCCGTCTTTGAAACAAATTGTGCAAGGCAATTTAGTCATTGTGTCCATACAATGATGTATAAGCTCAATCTACGTGGCTTAAACTCCATGATTCATCGCCTTCTCTCTCACTGTAAAGTCTTTTCAGCTTCAATGAGCAGCCATGGCGAGGAACAAGTGAAGACGAAATTAGAGATGTTTTGGCACTTCAATCTTCAATCTTCAATGAGGATTGCTGCAATTTTAAGGTAATTATTTGTCATTTCTCTGTCTTCCTCTTTAATTTTTTTAAGATTTGATTTATAAAGTATTGATCTTTCATATGTATGAACACCACATATCTTAATAAAATGGGGTACCCAAATCCAGCCAAAACTTCCATTGATTTTCAAAAAAGGTTTCGGGTGGGTTTAAAATAGAAATGGGGGGGGGGGGGGGGTGGGTTATTTTTTGGG